AAAAAATTATTATTACAAAATACATTTTCTTCGAAAATCACATTAAAATGGAGGTGAGTAAATTAAAGATTTAGGATTATGAGTGGCACAAATAGAAGATTCAAACAAAGTTCACGAAAAAATGAAAAAATTGGAACTGTATGTGCAATTATTCATTTTTATATGTCAATGACCAATCAGTTTAAGCCATTGTCTGAACCTCATTATTCAAAAACTTATTTTTCTCTAAATTCATTTTCAACCACATTTTTTAAATAAAATATTTTGCACGTAAATTCAAAATTTTTATCTATCTTTAACCATGCATTCTCTAAAATATCACTATTACAAAGCTTTTTAACATAAAATGAGGTTCAAACAAGTGCTAAATGTACTTTGAATAGTTTAAGAAGTAGAGAATTAAAATTTGTGAATTTTCAAATACAATAATTGTACATTAAGAATATATAATAGTTTGGCTCTTTAAAATTGAATAGTCCAACGCACTCTTTATTTTTAAAAAGTTAAATAGAAATTTTTTGGGCTTTTTTTTAAGCAATAATTCTTTATAATACAGAGCATTTTTATTTAAAATAGTTTCTTGAAGATATTCTTATGGTCCCACTTTATAAGTGTCCACCCCACAAATTCACTTTATGAATCACTTGTGACCTTACCTTACTTTATGCTAAATATTAAGTAATATGACATTTTTTCTTCTATTTTATCTAAAAAATGATTTGTATTACCTTGTATGAAGTGTTGTTCGGTAGGTCTAGACATGATTCGAGTTGGGTTGATTTTTAAGTCTAAACAAAAATTGAATCCAACTTGGTTGGCTTGGGTAAATATCAACCCAACTCGATCCAATTCAACTGTTGAAATCTAACCAAATCAAATCAGTTTAGTTGATTTGAACATTAGTCTGATTTATAAAAAAATCACCTAACCTATTTTGGGTTAAAAAAAATGCTTGTTATATATATACACCAACAAACAATTACGCGAAAATGAAAAGTAAAGCTACAATATCAATTTGAAGTTTACAACAAACAATTTTTCTCATTGCTTTTCCTTTTCTTTAGGAATTTGGAGCTTTGGTAAAAGAAATGTAAACAGTAAACAAATTATTTGAGAAAGAACTATAATTGTGTTTTTATTATTTTACTTTTTAAGTTTAAAATATGAAATTAAAAAAAATGTATTAACAAGTTGGTCGGTTAATTGATGGGTTAGTTCCTTAAATCGCAATCAACCCGACTTTTTAATGATTAAGGGGAGTGTATTCAATTGAAACTTTTAATGACTTTTTGAGATTTAAAAAGTTTAGGGGTATTCAATTGAGACTTTTTGAAACTCTCTAAAAGTCACGATATATTCAATTGAGACTTTTAAAGATTTTTAATTTTTTTTTAAAAGTTACGATATATTCAATTAAAACTTTTTAAAAGTCTCTATAAGTCTTAAGGTATTCAAATTCTAATGACTTCTAGAGAGTTTTATAAAAGTCTTTGGAGTACTAACTTTTAAGCAGAAAGTACTCATATAAGATTTTAAAAGTTGTCTATCATTAATTACGAGATTTTGGGAGACTTTCATAAAAAAATAAATAAATTAATAAATTAATAAAATTTTCTTTCCTTTAACATTCTATGGACATGTATGGTTAAAATTTATTTTTTTAATTGATTATATTTCATTTATCTTTTTCTCTCTCTCTCTCTCTCATTATTTATTTCTATTTTCTATGAAAAATTAAATTAGATTATTGAAACTTTTTTTTTCTTCTTTCATTCATTTTTTTTTTTGTGAAAAATATCTATTTTTTAATTAAATTATAAAAGTTTATATGAAAAATTATAATTAAATTTAAATATATTGATTTTTATTTATTTTTAAAAGTTACTATACTAATAATATTGAATCATATATAATTTTGATTATTATTTATTTAATTAAGATCTTAAATTTATTTTTTTTTTCAAATTTTTTTTATTATATGGGAAGAAGAAGGTGAATTGTGGGAACTAACACCCTATATGTGAGAATTTTACACCAGTTCTACGTGAATTCTATTTCAAATGAAAGTTTTCAAAAGTCTTTTGAATTCCACAAAAGTCTATAAAAGTTTTAAAATGAAAATCTATAGAAGTCTACGAAAAACTTCCACTAATTCCATACAAATTTATAAAAGATCCACGAAATCCACAAAAGTCATCACTTAAAAAAAATTTCATCAAAATTTTCAAAAGTCCCAATTGAATACACTCCTCTAAAAATAACCGAACTAAACCCATTTTTTGATTCAAACCGATCCAACTCGGTTTGATTTGATCAATTTGATTTTTTGAATTTTTTACCCACACCTACTACCCGGAAAACATTAGCTACATGCGGAGAGTGTTGAAAAGGATTAGGGGAAAGTTAATTGTTAAGCGTTGCTTTCTTGAGCTTGCATGGGAACAACTGCCGTGCCTGATTCGACTAACAATTACTAGCCTTCTTTGGCTCTAGATAATGTAGAGATGTATGAAATACCTCACCTTGTCAATAATAAAATTAAATTTTCAACCGATAAATTTTGGATAAAACTGAACCCTAATCGAAACTATATCACAATCATTCGTGGTCATTTTATCCATATTTTTATGTATACTAATAGTAAGCATGTGCTTTGCACGTCTTATGTGCGGAATGAATGATATACATTATATTTTTGAAGTAAGGCAATTGATAATGTTAAAAGAAAAAAAATTAAATTATTAAAGAATATAAAAATTACGTATATAAAGTGAAAATGTTGAATAAATTGAAATGAAATGTAATGATTTATTTATGCTAGACTTTGGTTGGACCCCTATTTTCAACTATACAGCGACATTGACCAATTCTGTGGTACAAAAAGATACGAAGAAAAATCAAATTAAAAGATGTACATTTGATTAAATTTAAAATATTTACGTACAAGTAAACTAAATGTACGTAAATAATTTTCAAATTAAAAAATTACACATTTTGTCTGTACCATAAACTTTTTACCTAGAAAATAAAAACCAAAAAGTATCTTATCTAAACATATTTAGAAACAAAAAATTACATATTAATCATGCTTGTTATATTAATCCATAGCATTTATTTTAAATTATAAACCAAAGTTACTTTCAAAATAGATATCGAAGTGAAAAATCTTAAACAAAAGTTTTCATTTTCTTTTGAATGAGATTAATACAAATGGAGGAATAAAAATTCCCATTTAAATGTATAGGAGTAAAAATGTTTTCTTTTCTTTATATATTTATATCTAATAAGTAACAAGATTACCATCATTTTTATGCTTATACAAAAATGAACACGCAATAATAAATATCCAATACTATATTAATTATTTTTTAGAACACATAATATTAATTTTTTTTGATGTTCAAAAAATTAGATTTAGTGAAAATGTGTATTTGAGATGCAAAGCTTTTATTTAGTGTGTAAATACAAATATGAGAAGTGTAAGTAACTCCTATTAAGAGTAATTAGTAAAGTTTCTAAAATTGATGGACAATTTGAATAATTCCATAGGTACATGGAATTATTAACAGAAATGATATAGGTGCTGCGTTAGCAGCATCTGTATGATGCTTTTTTTTTATGTTTATTGTGTTAAAAACCAATAAAAAATAACCAAGTGTTTTTCTGTAAGAATTCTGTTAAAATATTTCTGTACTTGTAGCAAAATTGGAATAATTTCTTCAATCATCAATTCTTTCCCTCCTAATTGTTGATCACGTTTAAGCAAACTCAATTAAATAATAACCTAATGAATGGATTATAATGTAAATTATGAAAATTAATAAGGGCTTTGTTGAAAAATAAAAAATGCTTTGTTAATGAAAATAAAAACTCAATGGATGAATTATAATATAATTCATGAAAATTAATAAGGGTTTTGTTGATAAAAAATAAAAAATTGCTTTGTTGATGGAAAATAAAAATTGTAAGAACAAAATACTCAATTGAATGAAAATTTACTAGATTTTCGTTGATTTTTTTTTTCAATAATTGAATGCAAGTTTCAATCCTTATATTAATTCCAATCAAATGATAAATATCAATTAAATATTTCACAACTTATATTAATTCTAAATCAAATGATAAATATTAATTAAATTGGTAATAAGGGCTTTGTTGATGAAAATTAAAAATTGTAAAAGAAAAAAAATCAATTGAATGTTAGTCATTGAATTTTCGTGTGTAATTTCTTTTTAATTCGTTGAATGTCCTCATTAATATATTAATGCAACATTTAAAATATTTGTAACCTCAATTAAATAATAATTTAATGGATGAATTATACTGTAAAGCATGAAAATTAAAAATTTCTCTGTTGATGAAAAATAAAAACGCATTGCATGAATTATAATGTAAATCATGAAAATTAATAAGGGTTTTGTGGATAAAAATAAAAATTGTAAGAACAAATTGGTAGTCACTGATTTCTTTTTGTCTTCATCTCCCTTCTTTTTTTTTTTTTTTTTTTTAATAAAATTGAATGTTAGTTTCACCTCTTATATTAATTCCAATCCAAAATGATAAATATCAATTAAATATTCCACTCCTTATATTATTATATTATATTAATTTTAAACCAAATGATAAATATTAATTAAGTTGGTATTCCAATTATGAGAATGTAGTGGACATATATAGTTAAATATGTAGAGGCAAATTAGGTATTTAAAATTTTTCCACCATCCCCACTTTTTTCCAATGTTGAGGATATATTGAACATATAGTTAAATATATAAGAGTGAATTTGATATTTAAAAGTTTCTTCACCATCTCCATTTTTAATGTATTGTGTAGATGTAGATTTGAAATGTTAATTTTAATTTCCATACCCAACTTAATTTTTTAATAAATATATTTTGAACAAGCGGAAAAATCCATACGATAACATAATAGAAGATAGTTGTAACCGCCAAAATCATTAGAACCATCGTAAGATTCTAAAGGTCCAAAATATTAGAACGAAACAAAATCATCAAATCCTTTCAAAATCATAGAATTGTAAAATCCAAGTTTTAACAACCATTCGAAACAATAGCAGAATTTTGTTCAACATATAGTATTTCACTTGTTATTGTTCTTAAGCGATTATTATGTTTCTAGAGCTTACAACGTTTGAAAGGCACAACATCAGGAGACAAATCTACAAACAGATCATAATATTAAACTTTACTGCTGACGAAATCTGCATTGGTTGCTTCCCAGATGGTAGTGCCATCACAAGTGCAAAGCTTTTTGTAGTTCTCACCAACTCCAGCACTTCTAGCTATCACAGCAGCAGCGAGACCTTCATCTGATTTATCCTCAGTTCCATACACCGCTATTGATCGTCCGATCAGATCAGCAACTCTCAGCTTTTCTTTCACGCCGGAGAAGAAAGCCTCGCCTTTCTCATCCGCGTCTAGTGTTCCCAGGTCACCAACCGGCTGAGAAATCCGAGATATAGATTAGCAGATGCACAAAAATAAGAATCACAAGAAGTTGTTCTCAATAAATTTAGGGTCGGTTATCTGAATCTCTCTCCCCTCTCTTCGGTTCATTGCTAGATAGATAGTGGACACCGATGATCATTTGGCACTTGGCACGCGAAATAGAAACGGGAAAAAAACAACACTTGAGCCAGAGTAATGAGAGGTAGGAAGCCTTTCTTAACATTACCCGACTTGCAAGGGAGACGTTAACAGTGTAAATATGTAAGATTGATGCATCTTTCCCATCCGTATTTTGAAAGATGGGAAAGGAAAGAGAATTGGAAGAATTATTTTTTTTGATTCAAAAAGAATTGCAAAAAATGAAGCAAGAAAAAAGAAAACAGAATAAATAAAGACGAGAGCTGGAACTGCGTGTACAAGTTACAACTATACAAACCTCTTCTGCATCGCACATCGGGTTGAACACTTTCCCGGTACTTGCTGCACCCTGCGTCAAATCCCCGAATTCATTGATGGACCAACCATGTTTTCCAGGCGGCAAACCACTGAAGTTCGCTTCAATTCTAGCCAATTCCATGTTAACTTGAGCTAAGCGAACAACTCCAAAAATAGAAGGTCCTTTAAATTCAGCGACAGCAGCAGAAATAAGGAAATCTGCAGTCACGCATCAAACTGTCAATACTCTTGTAACTAAAAAATTTAACGCCAAGTAAAATTTATACGAGTTCAAGATAGTGAAGCAACCACTGGAGAAGACCAAAATGAATTGCATAAGTAATGACAACATTGGACCTCTCTGCGCAACAGTTCTTGTTCTTTCAAAACTTATGAACAAGCCCACAACAGCAGCAGCAAACTAAGCATTGTTCTGAATAATCTAACCCATTTTTGTCCCTATTTGGTTCATTGCTAGATCAACTTGAAGATTCGAAACAATTAAAACATTAACGTTCCCATCACTTTGCTCTTTAGGGTTATGTAGACCATGTCCCAACAACTTAAACCATCGACCCATTAATTTTATGTATCGATCAGTGCTCCATTTGGTCTACATTTTCATTTCTTATTTCATCCATTTTATTGTGTCCATCTATCCATCTCAGAGCATTAGCTAAGCTTAAAAAGTTCACACGGTAATTTTGAAATACATAGGTTTTTTTATTGGTAGAAGTTAAGAATAAATAAGGGAAGAATTACTTACAAATAAGCAACTTTATTTACTTAAAAAGATAGAAAAAGTAACATATCCAACTCTTAGCATCCTTGTTTCTGCTGGATTCATCTTTTGGACATCTTGTCCTTTGCACTTTCAAGTTACGAACGAGTCTATGAAGGAGATAAATCAAGAAAGGGAAGATCGTTGAGATTAAAACAATAGAGCCGAAACATGACATCCTAGCTTACCTTCAGGCACCCCTTGTCCGATTAACCGGGCTTTTCGACCAGTCTGCTCCAATGCTTCAGTTAAAATCTTCACTGGTGAAGTTCCTTGAACCCTCACAACTTGATTGCTCAAGTCCACATCCACATTTTTAACACCTAAAAAGTAAAGACAAACAGATATTTATAGTAACAGGAAAATAGAAAGAAAGAAACAAGAAAGTCATTAGGTTTTTCCACTCCCTTACCATCAAGAGTTTGTAATTTATTCTTGACGGAATTAACACAGCCCTCACACTTCATATCCACCATAAATTCCGTCTGCACAATGATGACACAAAAAGTCAGATATCTGTGATGATTTATTCCTAAAGGCACAAGTTGATTTACAGGCCAATAATTTCCTTTATAACAGTTCACAATGAGCTTCTCATGCCCATCTTGTCCTATTCCCCACATCAACACTCAGCCAAAAAGAAAGAAAAGAAATAAAGAGAGTGCATATTATGAAAAGAAATGAATATCATCCAAACTGAAGAAACTCGTTCTATACAATGCAAAAGGACTATACAGCATTAACATACATATACAAGACAGAACAACAATACATGCACATCAACATGCCTAAATGAAACTCTATTAAATAGTTTCAACAACTTAATAATTGATGCAAACTTATATTTTATAAAGAATGCATGATGGAGCTAGAAAATAAAACAGAATTATTCCACTATCTGAAAAATTGTGCACTTTTCATATCTTTGACAAAGAACGAATTCGACCCAAGGGACGCAACAGACAGGGTGCTTCATAAGAAGAAAATTTATCACCACCCAAAAAAGATAAGGACAAGTTTTCAAAATAAATTGTGAAGAAATCCATTATGTCATAATTATTATACACTCATGGGCAAGCAGCCAAAAAATAGTCCCAGAACTCCAAAGTCATATAAATAATTCAAGGGATCAATTCAACTGACTGAATAAATTCAATTAGACAGGAAAACCCTAAAAAATCAAATATATTTTTCATTAACACTAGAAATTGCCAAAAGGGTTCAAAAAGAGAAAAATAAAAAATCAGCATTTCAAATTTCACTTCATATGGCATGCATAAAAATCATAATCAAACTTTAACTAAAGATAATGAGCAATTTAATCATACGTACTCACCAGTAATTCTGGCAAAACTGCACCGTTCTGCGAATCAAAATCAAGAAAAACACCAATAAAAGCTTTACTTTCTGAAGAAAACATAAACAAAATGGGGGAAGAAATTGGTGAAAACAAACAATTTTTTTTTTTTTTTTTTACCTGGGCAGGTGGGTTCTGATTCGATAGAGGAGCGTCCATTTGAACAGAAGCCAGTGCTAGGTTCCCAAGACTGTTGACAAGGCACAATTTTTCTGGGCTATGAGTCGTAGAGAGATGAACAGATAAGTTTTTAGAAAACCTTTGCGGAAAATTCAAAGAAGAAGAAGAGGAGGAGGACGAGGAGAGGGAAGAAAGTGCAAAGGCTGCTGGAATTGCAGCAGCGATAGCAGTTTTTGATGTCACCACAGCCCTCAAAAATGCCATTTCCTTTCCTTATTTCAATATTTTTTCATTTCATTAAAAGAGTCTATGTTCAATAATCTTGACTCTCGAAGCATCACATTCTAGAATTTACTACTCTCTCTCTCTTATCAGCGTCGATGGGGTTGGTACGTAGTATTGCGGATAAATATTCTTGTAACCACTGAATTTCTCAAATATTTTCAAGTCAAATAATTTTATTCATCATCTCATTAGAATTTATTTGAATTCTATTTTTTTACAAAGTAGATATTAAAATAGTGATTTTTAAAAAAAAAAAATTTAAAAGTAAGGAAAAATTTTGAATTTATATATAAAATTATTTTATTAAAAAAATGTGTGGTTAAAAGTAATTTTTTTAAAAAATAAAATAAAATTTTTAAATAATGAGACCCTAAATCCTAAACAAACAAATGAGATAATAATTTGATATGTTTAATAGCAACTCGATAGGTTTTAAATTCAATGACAATTGAAAAAACATTATAAAGTTGCAATAGAGACACCTAACCTCAGTATTGTTCTATTGGCGATTCCTTTTCATTTTTGGGTAAATTTCAGTTGGGGTCCCCAACCTTCCGATGGTGGCACCTAGGTCCCCAACTTATACAATAGTGTGTGCATCACTCCCAACTGATCGAAAAATGCTTTTTAAGTTGTTAAGTCAACAAGCGACATATCCCCTAAGGGTAAAAATGTTAAACAATTTTTTTTTTTTTTTTTTTGTAAATACCTTCCCTAAGTAACCTTTTGTAAAACTACTTTATTACTTATAAGGCTATAAACGTTCATAGCACAATACTCTATTTTCAAATCCCAAAAGCCACACGAGTCATCATATACCAATTACTTTGGATAGTTTCTATTTTAAGAGACATTACATGTATGTGTGGCATGTTGATTTAAGGCCAAAATGATGTTTTCCTATCGACGGTAGATGACGCCTGTCACAAGAGGAAGGTCAGGAATTTATCTTCACAGTTAGCAAATGTTGGGGACCGCAGCTGGAATTTTGCCTATTTTCTTCTTCTTGGTTTTATTTTTATGAAACAAGGCAATGCTTTTGGTCGTGCTGAAAAAATGATTTTTTCAATTATTTTTCAATAAATAAATAAATAAATAATGCCAATATTGTACTGTGTACCATGAAGAATATTCAAAATATGGTATGTCATAATTGAACTCTAACAATTATTTTGAACCAATCTCAGGACCCATCACTTTTTCTAACCCACCAAATTGATCCAGTCTTCAGAAACAATGGACAAAACAAAAGTTTTAAAATAGCATCTTAGTTTTGGGAGTGTGACCAAGTCAAATGTTTTAAGTATCTATGGTTGATGTAAAACGTTTTTGTATATACTTGTCCTGTTTGGACAGGTTATACCCAAATAACCTCTTTAAACCTTTCAGCTGTCTTTTCCCCTTTGTGGAATCAGATAGATGAAAATAAGATCAAGAAGCTTGAGGACATATTTTCAACATTGTTTTCTTTCTATATACTCTATGTCAAGTGAGCTTTCAGCACTCTCGTCGTGTTGGGATTTTTCAAAAATATTTAAAAATGACCCACATTTGAAGAAAATGAAGAAAACTTTCTTTTACACAGACTCCTTAGATCATCAACTAATCGTATTAGAATTTGTGGGTTAACTAAATGCTGTTGGGATGGTTGAATGCATTGGGGGCGCTTTAGAGGCTCACTCGACATTGTGTTGGGTTGGATCTTGAGCTCGTAGATCCACCCGCTGCAGCGATTTGCAAGAGATTATTTTGAAAGGGCCAATGGACATCCATCCTATACCAAACGAGGACTGCAATTTCGAAAAATAACCTATTTGTCCTTTAGTAAAATGCATGCAAAAACTTCATTCAAATCCACTAGTATATGGGTAAACTGCCGCCTAAAGAGCATATAGAATATTACCTCTTCGTACCAACCTCGCCGGATTGAGTAATGGAGTTTAAGATGAAAGGAAGCTCACGGTGAAACCTGCGATTGGTTTTGATCAGGTTGAGTTCGATTTTGACCAGTTTAAAAAAGGTAGTTTTTGAAAGTTTGTCCTGATGCAAATGATTTTACCAACAATTTGCCGGCCATGCCTTCTTTAGGCATGTCCTGACCTTATATATATAGGTTCATCAACCAGTTACCAGTACACAAAACTCCACATTTAACTTCAATGGAAGTTTTTAAATTTTTTCCTCTTATTTTCCTCTTTATTTCCCTCCCTGAGCTTTCCAATGTCAATGCATTTCCATCTAGTGAGTTAAAAACATACATTGTCCATGTGAAAAAATCAGGTGGTCACATTTTCGCCCTATCAGATGACACGAAAAACTATCATAAATCATTTCTTCCCAGTACCTTTGCCGACTCTGATCACGACCAGGAGCGATTACTTTACTCGTACCAAAATGTGATCAGCGGCTTCTCAGCAAGACTGACCAGAAAGGAAATCGAAGCCATGAAACAAAAGGATGGCTTCATTTCAGCACATCAAGAAAGAGTGTTGCATCCACTGACAACACACAGTCCTAGTTTCCTAGGGTTACACCAAGAAACGGGATTTTGGAAACAATCAAATTTTGGCAAGGGAGTTATTATAGGAGTGCTGGATACCGGAATTTTCCCGAGCCATCCTTCATTTAGCAGCAAAGGGATGCCGCCTCCACCAGCAAAATGGAAGGGGAAATGTGAGTTCAAGGCATCAGAGTGTAATAACAAACTAATCGGAGCAAGATCATTTAACATTGCGGCTAGCGCCTCGAAAATAAATGACGAGACACCACTCGATGATGATGGTCATGGGACTCATACAGCTAGTACCGCTGCGGGTGTATTTGTCAGTGGGGCTAGCGTTCTTGGCAATGCTTATGGCACTGCAGTTGGAATGGCACCTCAAGCTCACCTGGCAATATACAAGGTGAGCATATTTGGCTCGTAGTACAAAATAGGACTCGACAATATGATAAATAAGATTTAACGTCTTTAATGTCGTAACGTACCAGGTGTGTTTTGGCCCCGACTGCCCTGAAAGTGATATATTAGCTGGACTTGATGCAGCCATAGAAGATGGCGTTGATGTACTCTCTATCTCCATCGGTCAGGAGTCACTGCCATTTTTCCAAGATAACACGGCAGTAGCATCATTTGCAGCAATTCAGAAAGGGATATTCGTAAGCTGTGCAGCAGGAAACTCTGGCCCTTTCACGGAAACTATGTCAAATGAGGCCCCGTGGATTCTTACAGTCGGAGCGAGCAACATTGACAGAAGCATCAGAGCCACAGCAAAATTAGGAAATGGAGAAACTTTTGATGGTGAATCTGTTTTCCAGCCGATGGACTTCCCTTCTACTCTGATGCCACTTGTTTACGCTGGTTCCAATGGTAAACAAGACTCTGCATTTTGTGCAAATGGATCCTTGGCAGGTATTGATGTCAAAGGAAAGATTGTAATGTGTGAGAGGGGAGGAGGTATCGCAAGATTGGACAAAGGACAGGTAGTGAAAAATGCAGGCGGGGCTGGAATGATACTAGCAAATCAAGAATCTGATGGATTCAGCACTTCAGCTGATGCTCATGTCCTCCCTGCAGCACATGTGAATTATGCTGCTGGATTGAAGTTCAAAGCCTATATAAATTCGACAAATTCTCCTATGGCCGGACTCTTATTCAAAGGGACCATAATCGGAGACCCTTTGGCTCCAGCAGTCGCCTCATTTTCCTCTCGCGGCCCAAGTTTAGCTAGTCCCGGAATTCTAAAACCCGATGTCATTGGACCGGGAGTAAACATCCTCGCAGCATGGCCTTTTGCTCTAGATGGTAATACGAACACGAAATTGACCTTCAACATTGACTCAGGCACGTCAATGTCGTGCCCTCACCTTAGTGGGATTGCAGCATTGCTCAAAAGCTCGCACCCAGACTGGTCTCCAGCTGCAATCAAATCTGCTATAATGACATCAGCTGATCTGCTGAATCTTAAAGGGGCAGCAATAGTTGATGAAACTCTTCAACCAGCTGATGCTCTCTCAACTGGCTCTGGCCACGTTAATCCATCGAAGGCAAATGATCCTGGGCTCGTTTATGACATTGAACCAGACGACTATATCCCGTACTTATGCGGCCTAGGCTATACAGATGAACAAGTTGGGATAATTGCACATAGATCAGTCCATTGCACAGCAAAAATTCCAGAAGGACAGCTAAATTATCCAACATTTTCTGTTGCACTTGGACCATATCAAACTTTCACAAGGACAGTTACGAATGTTGGTGAGCCACATTCATCATATGCTGTCAAGGTTGTTACACCACGAGGAGTCAGCATTATCGTAAAACCCAACCGGCTTTATTTTACAAAGGTGAACCAGAAACTGTCATATTCTGTGACATTCAGCAGCAGCAACAAGAAGATGAACAACACATTTGCTCAAGGGTATTTGGAATGGGCATCCAACAAATATAATGTTAGGAGTGTAATATCTATTAAATTTGTCTAAGTTATGGATGTGGATCAGGGTGCAATTATTGACTTAAATGGGTAATTGTGATTTTGCAATCATATAACTTCCAAGAATTCTTGAGCATGTTACGGAAATCATCAACATTTCTGCTTTCTTTTTCATAATAGGAGAACCAAAAAGGTAATCAATCAACGGAATAAAGGTTACTTAAGCCAAATATTCAATAGATTCTACTGCCAGTTGGCTCATGTCAATTGCAAAACTTGAATGACAGTAAACTAATGAACCTGAGACCAAAGACATAATTACTATATATAGAACAAGGTTATTCTTCTGCTATACAACATTTTATTAATGAATCAAAGGATTGCATTGAACTGTATATTTCCTTATTTAAAATTTCCCAGCTAGATTAGCATCTAGGTGTATAGGAAATGATTTACCGTTAATAGAGGATCAAAACCATGTATCCACGCTAATGAGCATGATGATTTCTGAAACTTTCTATGTACTTGGTCAATATCCAGTGTTTATCTGCCAAATGGCAGAAAATCAAAGTTTGATAGCTGTCATGCGCATCATTTGACAACAACCTTCCTTCGAGTCAACGAATTCCCATAATCCTGAAGCAATTTGATGTCAGATATCAGTTAATGGAAGTGCATGTTTGGCTAAGCATAAAAACTAGTTAAAGTTACTCAGAAGTAACTATTAG